GCTCCAAATATATTATGAAATATCAGCTCTCTTCAACTTAAAAGGCATCAATTAAATTACTCAGTCTGCTGGGCAAGTGGAAAAAATAGCCTCCGGGCCTAGCCATAAGTATAGAAAGTTACTGAGAGCAAGAGAACACATGAAGGAAAAATGGAATCTTGAAGAACTCAATCTTTCCCTTTATGCACACACATGGCTGGTAAATTTACCGCTTGCAGCCCACACTAAGGTTACTTTTTCCTTTTAAATAACGGTCAAGTCACTGTTAGTTCTTGTAGCAATAACAGCAGAAGAGAGCCAGCCCTTGGCAGCCACTGTCACCTGTAACCACATGTTCTTAGCCTGGTTCTGCTTCCTTCTGATCCCCCAGAACCAGGGGATCGATGAATTGCTGGAACGGGTTGGAGTGAAGATGCTCTTCCTTCCCTGTCCTCTCCCTTTCTGCTCCATTTGACCCACATAATGAGCATACCAGAGAAACAGGGCGAGGGGCAAGCACACCCTGGGGAGAAGAGCAAAGAAGTTTTCCTTTAAAGTGACAGAACAGGAGAGTCCCTCAGTAGAGAAGAATGGGACTTGTCTATGTGGCATATCATGTCCAATTGCATTTTCAGCATTCAATTCAGTGCTTAGTTCAAATCAGCACAACCTTGAATTTCAAGGTGAACTCCCCTTGGACAAGGTTCCTGCCCTGCGGATGAAATCAGAAAGGGCAGAGAAAACCTACTTGCCACACCCATGTCCTGTCCATGACTACTCCTTATTTCATCTCACTTCATGGTCAGCAGGAGCTGTCACTCCTACTTGTTCACACAATCCCTGCCACAGACTTTGTCACTGCAAATAACAAGGGCAAAATTATTATCACTGACCTTGAACAATGTGACAGCAAAATTAAATTTTTTTCCACTCAGTTTGGAAATTTTGAAGCAGGTCCACCAGAAACAAAGCACATGGAAACCATGTCTACATTTCTTTCCAACTTGAAGGACCAGTGTAATTTTAGGAAAAATTTAAGTAAACATTATATCAAAAAAAACAAACCCCAACACTTCTGTGAGCCCAACTTTTATCCTGTTATACTTCCAAAGGGATTGTTATATCCGCAACAATTTAACCGTTAAACCAATTTTAAAATGTTTAAACAATACACTTAGTATATTTCTAGAGCATGATGTCTGGCCTCTTGCTGCTGACCAAGAAATATCCTGTAAAGGAAGTAGCTAATCACTGTTTCCTTGGAAAATGTTTACAAAGGGAATTTGGGATGATGTTATCTACATCCTGTTTAAGTAGCTACTTTGGTCTCTTAAATCAGATGGTGAACCAAAAAGAAGCACTCTTAGTAGTATTGTTATGCTTTTCCTTTCTGTATCTTGAGTTTCTGGACAGTTATTTCAAGGGTACCAGCTGTTTTTCACCTTATCTATTCATACTTTATACAGATGTATTTTAAGAAATAAGGTGTTTTGTGCTATTCTTATAAAAATCAGTAGGTAAACTGTATGTACATGTAAGCAACCTAATCAAAACTGACCAAATATGTATACTATGAAAGATCATAAAGAAATGAAAGCTACTTTACTGTGGGCAACAGGAGGGAAATACAAGTTATGATGGCAATGCTGTTTAACTTAGTTATAGTAAATAAAAACTTTTTTCTTTTTCTGATGCCGCAATTAAATGTGATTTTATTGATACAGATTACAGATTTCAGTCTGCAATATCATGACCTTCATTGCATATTACCCCACTCTGTGCTGCTTCTGAAATTCATGTGAGGTAGGCAGATGATCCTTATAGGCAGATGATCAATGTTTACTGTAATTCAGCATTCTCCTAAATAGCAAAATATCAAAATCTCGAATCAATAGAAAGGCTGGGAAACTGAGCCTAACAGCCACACAAATCAGTGTGAATCTCAGAAGAATGCCACCAGTTAGTAACATTTCCTATCTCACCAGACCTCTTGATGCTTTTGTATATTATCAAGATATATATTCATTGTTTTTTCTAAATTTTACTAGCAAAATTAATTTTAGTCCACTTTTGTTTAAAATTTTCTTGATTAAAAGCAACAATAAAATCTAAGTTCCAATTATACATAGCTGATAGTGCAAAACTGTTGCCAGTCAGTGGCTTGCACGTTATCTGTGCATACATACACTTAATGATAAACTTAGGCATAGTTCTTAAAGTAGATTTTAGACTCCTTGTTGACTTTTAAATCTATGAGGGAGACCAGAGTGCACAAAGAAGGAACATCTATGTTATTAAAAATCAGAAATATCAAAATTTTACTGTGCTAGCTCACGTCACATTGTAAGATTTATCTGAACAGAACAAAAAAGGGAAGAGGAATTTGAATGTTTTGGGGACGATTTGTTTCTACCCAGAATCCTAATCAGAGTACTGATGAAATTGGAGTACTATATGCACTGCCTGATGCATTTATTCACCTATCAGTCTCAAATTTCCTGGACTGAATGAGAAAATCTCTAATTTGGGTTGCAAAACCATGTGCTCATGCGCATTCCTGGAATATATGAACACTGACAAGCACATATGCAATTATTTTCAGAGTATATTACCAAGCAATTGGATAAATACTTACAAACAAAACTGCATATAAAAAAAAAAAAGAATTTAACACTCATTGTTGTGAAGGACAGTGAGAGGGTTTTTTCCCATTTATTTCCTATTATTATTTTTTTTTCCTATTGTGTGATTCTGAGATTCTCTACAGAAACTCTTGTTAAATATATTCAAAATTTTGTAGCTTTTTAAATTGTGTCAGTTGGTCTGATAAAAGTTATTGTCTTTACCCACAAGCTATGTTTTGCCTATAATTTCCAAGACTAAGACCCACAGATTTTCTATAAAGCGTTTACGCCTGCACAGGTCATTACTAGGACTGGACTCATTCAATCTATCCCACAGACCTTTGGCATTTGAAGCAAACAAACTTGGTCACAGTAGCTGTAACCAGCAGCCTGGGTGTTCATTGAAAATGGTGGGGAATCTATGGCTGGCAAATAACCCAAAAAATGCTCTGGCAAAATCAAAAACCAGCAAGTCCAAGTATTCCATGCTCTACTCTAGGTTCTGGCAGTTTCTCTAAGTTTTTTCTTTTCTGCTTTCATGAATTCTGGTTGTGTCTCTCTTTCACCTTGTTCAACTAAAGGCTGACTGCTGGATTTTAATGATTTACTGAAGCAACCTTTACAGAAGTAATGTCAGTATAGAGTGGTGAGAGAATTACCCAAGGTCCGATAACCTCAATGGGGTTATCAGACCAAAACCTTCACAAACTCTGCAACTTTCCAAAACTGGAAATAGTTGATAAATTGATGAACATACCCAAAGCCTAGGTCATCCTGATCAAAAGGAATAACCCAGGCTTGGAACAAACACTAGAACCACTCTAGAAATCAACACTCACACCAACAGTTTTAAGAGTTTTAAGATCTATAAACTTTAATTAGAATAGAGAAGTACATTTCAATGATACTTTAAGCAGGGCAGACACTACAGGACAGCCACACCTGTGGCATATCACAGCTCAGATGAAGTTTTTCACGAGCAATGTCACTGAGGACAATTTATTAAATCAAATGGCTCTGATTACTACCCAGTTTACATCAGATTTTGCACAGATGTTGACTTTTCATACAGTGACTCTTGGAAGATTTCTATTTTCTGTTCTTCCCAATTATGTTAGCAAGATCTTCTTTTTCTGGAATTGCTTCCTACACTATATTATCTGGTTTGCCTCTCTAATGCTGTCTACTGACCCTGCCACATATAAGATCTTCTGTCATTCCCAAGGATCCTTCTCATTCATGATCCACACCACAAGGACACTGAAGAGCTTTTGGAATGAGGCTGTGCTTTTACAATGATCTATGTTAAATAGATCTAAGTAAATGCTACTGGAAAAATGTGTGGTCTTGTCTCATGCCACTGTTTGCTTGTGGCAGCAGTTGAGCTAATATGAGTGGGTAATGAAATGATTTAAATAATTAGTACTTTATGGCAGAACATGTATAATTTTTATTTAGATTATCTGAGTTTATTTTTTGCCTGGATTTTTTATTCAACCACTGTATGGTAGCACATGCTCCACTAGTTGGCCCATTGTAAAATGCAGGCATGGACCCAGGCATTTCCAGAAACATGTAGGGTTTTTGCTTTTACCTGAAATTCTTCAGCAAAAAAAGTAAAGTTGCCCCAGTCCCTGTTGTGATAATGGTATTTGTCACCGCCTCTGAGAAAAGCCAGTGAACAAAATTGATCATTTTGGAAACCTGGAGAGAAACACCCCCTTATTGTTGGCAGAAGATTACTTTGAATATCTGAAGCTTGCCAGTTAGTCTTAGAATTAAAGAACCAGTTTATGAAATCTGTCTGAATCTTGGTGTGAGGCAGATTGGCATTATGATGACTAAGTAATGTTTAAAAACATAAACTGAGCTCTAAAATAAGGTCTTGATAATGCAGCATCTCCAGGACCCTGTATTTTGTAGTGCTCTGGTGAGTGTATTTCTCAAAAAAAGACCATTTGCACAAATTTCGGTTACAAGATATAGGGTGACTTTGCCCTTTCAGATTTCTTGCCTGACCATTTCTTCTCAGAAGCAGGAAAGTTTTCACAACGTTGAGTTGGAAGAGCTTTGATTAACTCCTAATCGTGATACAAGAACCATGAAAAACACTGGCACCCCTTTCCTTGCTCTGCAGTTAAACCGGACAGCGTAAAGTACCGGATAAGCCTTTTAAATGGCAATCATTAGCGTGGGCACCTCAGATTAGTGCCTCCACCTCAGCGCGGCACGGAGGCTCACCTGGGGAGCGCGTCCCACCAGGAGAGCCGCATCAGCCGGGCACCTCCCCGTGAGCCGGACCCCCGCCACCCACGGGGAGGCTGCGGAGGGGCCGGCCCGGCCGCTCGCCCCTCGCTCCAACCGCGGCCGGGCGAGCTCCGCCGGCTCAGGGAGCAGGAGAGGGCGGGTCCGGCCCGGCCCTGCCCTGCCGGGCCGAGGTGGTGCCGTGGAAAAAAAAGTTGTGGCGGCTTCAGAGCCGGGCGGTGAGAGCGCTGCGAGTACCTCGTAAAGCCGGCGGCTTCAGAGAAGCGCGGCCCCAGCTCAGTACTTCCTCCTGCTGATAACATCTCCGCCAGCGCTCGTCACGGGTGGCGGCCGCCGCCGCCGTCGCTGCCCTACTTGAATCGGTTTCAGACTCCTCCCGAGGCGAGACGGGAGCGGGAGAGCGGCGAGGCGGGAGGGAGGAGGCGATGCTCGGGGCCGCGCCGCTCCGCCCGGCCTCCTCCGCCCCGCGCAGAGCCAGCCGGGCGGCGGAGCTGCGGCTGGAGCCGGCATGGGAACCTTAGGCAAGAGGAGAGAAAACCAGTGAGTTTGCCGTGCTGCTTTATGCCCTCATCGCTTCCCTCCCCGCGGCGGAGGGCGCTGGGCTCGGTGTCACGCCTGAGAGCGTGCGGGGCTGGCTGGGGCTTCCGTGGGACACGGGGGTGGTACTGCGGGGGCCGGCCGGGGCTCTCCCGAGCGGGACAGGGAGAGGAGAGAAGCGCGGGAGGGGGTGTGCGGGAGAGGATTTTGTTTCACCCTTTGGGATGCCAGTGTGGCCGAGCAGGCGGATGGGCGCGGGGTGGAGGAGCCTCACGTTGCGGTGTCGCGGAGCGGGAGGGGCGGCACGGCGCCCGCCCGGGCTCGGTTACCGGCGGCACGGCCGAGGGGCCCGGAACGCGGCTGGCACCGCCCGCCGGGGCAGCGGCACCTGCTCCGGGATCGGGCAGCGAGACACGGTCACTTGTTCGTGATGCCCTCCCCGCCGCCCAGGGCGTATGTGGAAATGCGGGGCGGGTACCCCCGCTGCACCTCGGTCCCGCTTTCATCTGTTTGTCGTGTCGGGTGACTGCTGCGAGAGGATCCTTTCTAAGGAATATCCAGAGGTGCCACGGCTGAGCTTTGCCTGTCCAGCATGGCCAAGTCGGCCACAGTATAACTGTAAACTTTTTTCAGGTGTGGAAACTTGGGTTTTCTCCTGGATGTTGCCAAAGCCTGAAATATCCTCTGCCTTAACTCTTTGTTACTACTCGCTGGGATCCTCTGCCCTGAAGAGGCACTGGAATAAAGATGGGAGAGGGGCTTAAGCTTGTAGAAAGAAAACACTGAAAGCTGATCAGGCCCTTGTTCTTTTTATATGAGAACAGGAAGTCAGATCACAAAGCTAAGAGGGAAATTGATAAAAAGGGGGAAGGGAAGAGAACATTTGCATGTCAGCTATTGCCAGCCTAACTACGGAGGAGCTCAGTCAGTGCTGAGCTGATGATTACTGCCTCTGAAGGGTCAGGCATGTATTTTCCTGAATACCAAACTATTGAAATAGTTGGGTTGTGAATGACACCGTGGTCAGTTTCGTGGCTTCCCCAGCATTCAAGTGAGACAGAAAGGTAAGGATGAGGCTGGACTTTCACAGGGATGAGGTAGGGGTCCGGTCTGTCTTCATAAGGCATGCGTTTTTTTAACTTCATACAGGAGTGCCTATTTGGGGATGTCTGTGAATTTACTTCTCCTATCTCTATGTAATACACACACTGGAGGCATTTCTATGCCTTTTCTTCCTGGGATTGTCAGCTGATTATTAGAGTCTTGCATAGTGTTCCAAGAAAAGTTCTGTGAAAGCTTAAGATAGCACCTTAAAGACACTGGAGTCACTTGTTTAGGAAGGCTGTGGAGTGTCTGAAATAAACACAAAGAATCACTGAAATTTCAGGAGTCCCTGAAATAAACCCAAGTTTCATTGAAATGGCAGTGCTTGTTGTTCTTTTGTGAGCTGTATGGTTATACTCTCAAGTCAGATTTTGCAGTGGTTCCTGGTATTTGCAGGCAAATATATTTCATCACTTTTCATTAATGCAATATTGTTCCAATTTCCTATTTGATACAGAAATATGAACTTGTGTGCAAGCAACAAATAGCCTTTAATATTATCCATAAACACACATGTTCTTGAAGTAGCAGGTATTATATGGACAAAATACAAGACTAAAATTAGATATGTGCTTTATTTTGGTCTCATTTACCATTGTTATTAAATACATGTATTTGTTCATGTATACTATTTTAAAACAACCTAGGAAATAATTGTATTGAATAGATGCAAATTAATATATTTGTTTTGATTGTGAAATATTCCACTATTAGGTTGTGCTGATATGTTGTTTACTTAACAGTGACTTTTCAAATTAAATTGATAAAGCTAGTTTGGTGTTTTCCAATGTGTGTAATTTTTTTTTCTCCTTTACTTTTGGTGGACACACAAACATCTGGTGGCAGGTTATTGCATACTGTCCAACAAAGAGACAAGACTTTTGATAATCCTGACAGATCATTCAGAGAGCTCTATAACCATGTGCTCTGCAACTGACATTTTGCAGGAAAAAGTCACTTGCTGAGCAGTCCCTTTGGTGTACATATCAAGTGGAAGGTTTATGTCTTTCAGCACCATGACTAGAAGGAGTTAATTGTCCTTTAAATCTCTCCTCCTTTCACATGCAGTGTAAAATTTGCCACTCTATCTTGTGTTTACTTCACTGTTGTGTTTTCTTCTAGGCAACCTGCCCAAGCATGCAGCACTGCCCCTGAATCAGCACTGGAGCTGCAGCAGGGCAGCCACTGTCACAGCCTCTCGAGTCATACTCAGGTCATGATGGTGCCATTGGGGCACCTAGCCAAAGGAGCCACTCTGGAAGACCTTCTTGAAACCTGCATTCAGTCTTTTGGTGAGTGCCTGGAGGTTTTTAGAGTCGTATTAATTTCTGTGTCTATTAATATGTTTCTGTTGGCTATGTTTAAATCCTTTAGTAGGGAATTAAATTGATTTACTGGGATTAAATTGATAACTGAGAATTGTCTGTGCTACAGGCGATTGTGGTTTTGGATATGTTTATGCAGATGTGTGTAATGTATGCTGAGAGATAAGAGTAACTACTGCTTTTTCTTGAGGGAACTGGACAAATTCCAATAATCTGCGCTTTTAAGAGTACTTTTGTTGTTCCTTCAAGTAGCAATTTTGTGAACTTCAGCAAGTAATTGTTATATTTTTGCATATTGCAATAACATTCTCATAATGTGTGTAAGCAACATGTTCGTATTAAACATTTATAAACAAGAAGGGCTATTTTTGAGCTGGGTGAGATAACACTGGATTGCTTTTTGTGCTATCAGTATAGATTTAAAGTTGTTTCTTTATAAAAGAGAAAGAATCCAAAGAGAAATCACAACTGCATGTTTTTAACTTATCAATTATCTATTTGTCATTTTACAATAAGAATTGAAATATGGAGTATTTCAAGTGTAACCATTGCTTAAGCTGTGTGCCCCTTTTCCAACTTTTTCATTAGTAAATGTGTTTATATTCAATATTATTCAAATGTTATTACTGAAGTCACTTAAAGTGATTCTGAATAATTTGCTTATAAGTAGCACATCTGTTTGTTAATCCTGAGTCTTTCAGTGCTTTGAGCTACTCCCAAACTATATGTGGGAAAATCTTAGCTTCAGAAGTAGTCCTTGAACACCCACTCAGCTCTAAAATAATCTATATAGTTAAATAGTAACACATTGTGCTGATCTACTGGTACAGTGCATAAATACTGTGTAAACAATGACTAATCTTTCACATTTGTTTACAACAATTTTTTTTTTTAACATTAAAGCCGTCTAATCAGCATGTGCAGAGAAATTCATGTCTGAGAAATGCTGGTGAAACATGTAACTGTCAGTAATGTCTTGTTTCTTTTTTGCTTCTTTTCATTATTGTGAAGACACAATTCATTATTGTGGAGACACTGAACTTCTATAAATCTCTAATTCCTCAACAAATACTGATTGATATTTTTGTAAGTTTCAGTTCGATAGAAGGGGAATAAGATATCTAAAACATAAGACCTTCAGATAGCTGTAATATTGTGACTACTTGACCAATGTTAATGTCTCTACAGGTTTATGAAAAAACAGTAATATAAATGAAACATTATAAAAATCTAGTATAGTTATTAAAGTGATTGATTTAAAGTAGTGCAGGTGATACCCTGAGTAGAAGATTTGTTTTGGCATGTGTATAGCAATATATACATGCTTAGGTGTTCTCAGATTCCTGAGCATCAGTATATTAAAAAGACTAAGGTAATGAAGAAAAGCAAGTGTACCTGTGCAGTTCAGCTACGTGTGCATGGGAATCTTTTTCAAGGGTGTCACAGTTCAGCTAGAAAATTTACTGTAATCCACTAGATAGAGTTTTCTTGACCCTTGCCAAGCTGTACATAAGTCGAGCAAGGTGAATGGTAGTGCATCAGCAAACATCACTATAACTCACTAAGGACTGCTAAAATCATGCTGTGTGCTACAGAGATTTAGACCCTTAATTGGACAATTCATAGTAGTGTCTGTATTTATGCATCTTCTATGAAATTATGCATGTTCTTATGCTATGTTGGAACTTCCCATTAAGGTATTTAAATAAAAATACAACTTTTACAACACTAGATAATGCATGATGAAGTTCATTAAAGAAGGCACTTTTAACTATCACCAAAACCAGGGCAAAATTCATTCACATTATTGTGCCAACAAAGGAAGAGATTAAAAAATCTTTAATCTGAGATTTTGAAGAGGGTTGGGGGCAGGGAGCAAAATGGTGGGAAAAAGGCATAGCTGCAGAATGAGTACAAGGAATCTGAATGATTGAGCAAATTTCTTTCCATGCATAGTGCTGAAATCTTCTAACCCTATGCTAATAGTTCTGTTTAGGTTGAGATAATATCTTCAGTCTTGGGTATGCTGACCTATAATATATTGTATATTATTCTATAAAGTCATTATGATTTGAGCAAGTTTTATTTAAATGTTTAAAGTACAGAAACCCCCCAAGACATTGTACATTTGAAGTTTACTTTCTGGAAAAAGCTGTTGATTTATTTGCTGTCTAGTCTTAAGGAGAACAAGAGGCAGTAGATAGAGATGATGATGTGTCATGTTTCAGAATACATACTGCATCTTGTTAGCATTATACTGCACTTGCTGATGTTATGTGTACAAATACAATTCCTCTGTAATGGACACAGCTGAGTTTATATTCCTGCACTCAATTATACATGTTTGGAGAAAGCAAACAGTGTGTAAGAGAGACTCCTGTTAACAATGGTGTGTAAGGAGAAGCTGGCAGCCTTTTGCTGTGTATGCAGAGAATATAATGAGAAGGTCTAACCAAAAAGGTATTAAGAATCAATACACACTTATAGCTGTGAAGAACACAAGCTGTAAGTTTGCATTGATTCTTGTTGTATCGATTGTTGTAATTTATCTTACAACATGGATAAGGAGAAGAAAGGATGAAGGGAATAAGCTAAATTGAAATGAAAAGTGAGATGACTAAACTTTGCTGCAGTATTGTTAATGTATTCCAAGATGAATGACTTTGTCAGGAGAGCCAAGTTAATCCAAAAGCCTAGTCAGTGCAGTTAACTTAAATTCCTGCTTTGGGGTGATTAGTGTTTGTGCTCTTTCACCTCTCCCAAACTTGGTCTTCTTTAGCTTGGACTGATGAATGACAGGTGTGTGCCTTAGCAACAGAAACAATGAGGGTCTTAAGGGGTAGATTGAAGTCATGTAGGTGACTAATACTACATACTACATCTGAAAAAGTAGCATCATACCAGTGTTTATTCAACAGCACGATGAGGAGATGCTAAAAGTAGATGTTTCTTCAAGTCCCATGGAATTTGAATCAGGATGACAAAGATGAATCATCCTGTAAATGAGTTACCAAAAGTAAAGGCAACAAAAAAGCAAGGATCAAAGTGAAGGCAAGAGTTTGGGGGAAAAATAGCATGATGAGAGATTGAAGGTTGTAAGAAAGGAATATTGGTCCTTTCTTAGGAGATCTGTAGAGACTTGAAACTGCTCTCACCAGTTTTAAGAGAAGAGCTTGGATTATACAGGGTAGTGATTCAAAACATGTTCCAAAATGTGTCTCAGAAGACATCCCAACACTATAAGTAGCTACAGGATGGTGTTAATGCTATGATCTGGATTGACAAGAAGAATTGCAGAGCACAAATAAATGCATTACATTGCCTAGAAAAGAAGGGGAGGAAAAGAGAAAGAAAGAAGGGAAGAGAGTGCATAGAGAGAAAGAGCAGGAGGTAGGGTAAAATGATAAAAAAAACCCTAGAAAAGACAGTAACTGCAGAAAGGTTAGATTCAGTGCAACCTCTACATCAGAGATATTCATCCTGAACAAAAAGCTCATAAAGCGATAATTAAAAGTAGATTTTCCATTGGCAACAAAATGGCTGAAGTTGTAAGTGCAGGGAAGCAAAGAAATAGTTCATAGATTTTGGCCTAGAATATGACAGCTTCCGGAGGGAGATAATTTATTCTAGAGGAAAATCTTCACTTGTGACTGTGATTCTGGAGTGGAATTTTATTTAGAACAGTGACTTTAACCCCCTTTATCCATTTTTTTTTCATTATATAGCATATAAAATGCCTCAGAAAATGTGCTTTTAACTGGCAGACAGTTCTCTGAAAGACACTATGGCTTTGTCTCTTATTTTGTTGCTAGTTGTAAAGGCACTTAGTCAATCAGCTTTGTTGTTGAAACCAGCACAGTAGAGTCTAGTTTGCTGGCAGGTCAGTAGAACACAGGAAACATATGCTTAGTAGCACAGCCATAATTTTATGTCTAGTACTTATAGTAATCTTTGTGACACTACATAAATGAATAACATATATTTACAGAAAGTTACAGATCAGAGAGGAAAAATGTATTAGCAGTGTTCCCTTCAGTGGATACCTAATTTGTTAATTTTATATCTACTGAATGTTCATGACCTTTATCACCCTAGAGTATCCTCATGCTACTGTGAACTTGAAGTTCTGAATACGTGTTGTGAAGACAATTTCTAATCTAGAATTTTTTTTTTTTGTAACTTCACAATATATTGGTGCATGGTATGAGGTCCCTGTTTCTTTTCTCTATGTCTATTTTTATCTTATAAATCTACTTTTTTAATTCTAGAGTAAAGTTTAAGCGTGCTTGTTTTTTTAAACAAACATACCTTTCAGAGATCCAATGAGATATTTTAACATGCATTCAAGCTTATAAGCCATGCAAGGTCAGAGGGCCTTTTCCTTACCCACACAAAACATTTGTTTAAATTGTTTTTACAAGTGTTTAAAGACTCTATTGCAATCAGGACAACACGTGTCTTCAACATAGTGCCAATTTGATATCTCCTTGTTATGTCAGTAGTAAAGTCCTGAAATGTTACCTAGAATTACCTAACAAACAATTACAAGACTGCACTTGAAAGCCATCATTTATTCAAACATGTCTTGCTTAAAAAATCTGAGGATCATTTAAAAGCTGAGAATTCTGTAAGAGCTCAAGATGTTATTGTTATGAAGGAATTTTTGTTCTTAACCTCTCAGTACAAGATCTTACTCTTTGCCTCTTACATTTGAGTGCTGGAAGTATGTTTACTGTACCATATGGATTACCTATGCTTATCCTACAGTTCAGACACTTTAGTTTAAAAGAAATCAAGAAGTGTCATCTTCAAATGCATGTCATAGTACAGTGTCCTCATGTTTGGTTTCTTTAAAGAGATGTAAGTAAAGGGCATTAGGAAAGCAACAAAAATATTTCTGAGACCATGTAGCATAATTCCATGTGAAATCTCATCCACAAGAAACTGTTTGCAATGGAGCTACTTGT